TATCATGAACTGGTAAATCACCATGTTCTCTACTATACATGTTTATCATGAACTGGTAAATCACCACTAAACATGTATAGTAGAGAACATGGTGATTTACCAGTTCATGATGTTCTCCAGTTTATCTCCACTATTTGTTAACACCATAACCAAAAATATCAACATTTTACAGCTCGTATAATAAGTAAAACCTATGACCATGACAGTAGTGAATATAAATTCATATTAAAATGTATAGTAGAGAACATGGTAACCAAATTTAATACTAACCTCTTCATTACCACCAGAAGATGCAGAAGTGCTGTTTCCAAACTTTTTCTTCCTTTTAAGTATCCTTTCTCTTTCTTCAATCTGTTGAGACGATATGACCAAACGATTAATGAATAAGAGTAATAATGACATCACATTTAAATTACTTGTCACTGTTTTTTAAAGATAACCTATTCATTAAATATAAATAACATCTTTATTTTCCTGAGTGGAAAATGTGCTGTAGATTTCTCTTTAAATGGTAGACTTGAAACAACATTTCACTTTCATCACCTAAACTTACAAGATCATTATAAATCTCCACCTTCCAGAAATTTAGTTATTTTATCACTCTAGCAGTGTCTAAAGTCAAAATAAGTGTCTCTCTAAAATGTGTTTACAAAAAAAGAAAGTTCTATAACAGAGAATTTTTAAGTAAGAAAAAAACACACAACATATTCAACAGATGTTAGGTATTTTATCGCTATCACAATAAATACCCATTAAATGCAAGTATTTCGCATAAAAACTGTACTCATCTACTTAGTAATTAAAGACTTCTCAAATATAATTTATTGTAAAATTATATTATTCATAAGAAATAAGAAACAAATCATGTACAGAGGGCTCTTTGTTACTTGTACTTTTATTTTTATACAAAGATCCAGTTTTGTACTTGGTATTAAATAAACAGTTCCCTTTGTGACATGATGTATTTAAACAGTTGCCTCTGTGGTGCAATGTATTTAAACAGTTGCCTTTGTGGTGCAATGTATTCAAACAGTTGCCTTTGTGGTGCAATGTATTTAAACAGTTGCCTTTGTTGTGCAATGTATTAAAATAGTTGCCTTTGTGGTGCAATGTATTCAAACAGTTGCCTTTGTGGTGCAATATATTAAAATAGTTGCCTTTGTGGTGCAATGTATTAAAATACATTGCACCACAAAGGCAACTCCACAAAGGCAACTGTTTAATTGCAATGTATTTAAACAGTTGCCTTTGTGATGTGACATATTTAAACATAGTTGCCTTTGTGATGTGATGTACTTACAGTTTGTAAAACACTTAAATTTAAATCTTTAGGAACATTACACTTGTATAATACTTGTATATTGAAGTGCAAAGCAATACAATATGTTATTTATCCTCTTACAAGCATAGTGCTGTTGAAACCTAATTTTTAGAGTTATAAACCCTCAGACTTATCACTGATCTACCAGCAGGGTTCTGTTAATACATCATTTTAAGAACCAGATAATTTTCTTTTATATTGTGTTGTTTTGTATTGATAAAGTTTGCCCTACATTATAATTTTATACAGAAACTATAGTCAACCTTTACGTGTAAATATGGCCACTGGAAATTCAATTTAAAGTTGTAATTTTTTGGAGAACTAAACATCAGAATTTACTTCTTCAGCAGATATAGGCAAGCAAGAATGACTCAGAAAGCAAAATAAGTACCAATGAAAACATGTTAATTTTTAAAGACATCAATCCTAATTGAGTAAAAAATGATTTATACATATGGTTAAATATTAATCCAAGAATGTTCAGCTGGAAGTATTAAGTAACAGAACCGACAATAATACCATCAAAGAAACACGTTTAATGGTAGAAAAGTGTTAATGCAAGTTACAAGAACATGCAACTGCTCTGATACAGTTTCACCAAATCTTGGAAAATCAAACAAAATTTAGATATACATTTAGTCAAGGATAAGAATCATGAATCAATAATAGAATATTTCCTATTATTTTGAATGTACGTACTTGTTTCATCGCTTCTGACACTGACTGACCGAATCTCTCGGCTCTTTTTCGAAGTTTTTCTAGATCTAAAACCTAAACACCAGCAAAAAAAACTACACACTAAAAAATCTGATGGATTAATCTTATTCATCTAGATCTATAACCACAAGTTATAGATTATAGATCTTACAGATCTATAATCTATTTTTTAAAATCATCAATTAAAAAATATACATTGATAAAGCAGGATTATAGTGAAAAATGACACATATTTTCTAAGCCTTATTTTTAATGTTCAGATTTAGCTACATGTAGATATTACCAAAAACATCTCATCTACAACATACAAGAACTGTAAAAATAAGTCAGGTCAGTTATCTTAAATAAAAAATAAATCCTTTAAAATAAAATTTTAACAATTATACTGAGAAATGAAATTATTAACTGTGTAAAGAAATAAATTGTGAAGAATAATTTTAAATCACCAATATTCTGTTTTCTAGATTTGGCCTTACAGACAAAAGTAATGTCACAACATCAAGGAACATGGAAAGATATTCTGTAAGTAGACATTTACCAAATTGACAGTTTTTATACAGTCTTTTCATACTTTTTGTCATTATGGAATGATCATGTAAAGCTAAAATCATCTCTTCATTTTTTCTATATGTAAATACAGTGAGGATACTGAAACATAAACTTGCTCCATCAAAACATATAGCAATGAAATGCTTCAGATACCTGTCAATTATGCCAGATCTTGTCTTTCTAAAAATAATATTGTTAGTAAAATGATTTGTACAATTAACAAAAGCATCAATAGCCATTATGGACATTAGTATTGTTGAGAAACCTGTTTTGTTTGAAAATTTATTAATTCTGAATATAAATTAGATTTAGTGTAATTATTTTTACATTTATATTAATTTCTAACAAAGAAGAACTACAGCATCAGCTGTGACATCACGACCTAAGAATATACAATGACTGAAGTGTGAACCAAGAAAACTGTCATTAAAATTTTAAAAAAACAGTGTTACTGCAACATTACCTCAAAAATACAGTGACTAAACTGTGATCCAAGAAGGCACTGTGACTAAATCATGAAGTACATCAAACATTGTGACTACACATGGACCAAGAATACTGTGACTAAATCGTGAATTAGATCAAACACTGTGACTACACATGAACCAACAATACAATGATTAAAGTGTAAACCAAGAAGGCTCTGTGACTAAATCATGAATTAGATCAAACACTGTGACTACACATGAACCAACAATATAATGATTAAAGTGTAAACCAAGAAGGCACTGTGACTAAATCACGAATTAGATCAAACACCGTGACTGTGTACTGAAAAACACTTTTACTCATGAATAGAAATATTAGGTAAATGAAAATAAAGTAACAGAAGTAAGTCATAAAGTACTACACTACATGCATGTTCATATTTACATTTGTTCAAAAAACAAGTACTATTGTAATTTAAAGATATCGTTTAAAAGCCAGTAAAGCTTGAGAAATCAATACTCAAAATTTGTGATATAAAAATATCTGCCATAAGCATGATTTTTATCACAAATTTTTTGGTCTGCTGTTGTAAAAGATATCGTTTAAACGCCACCAAAGCATTAGACATGAATACTCAAAACTTGTGATAAATTAGAAAAACCTTAGCTAAGACCATAACATACTGGTTACATAAAAAAGGCTGAATGACATTTAATCTTACGTGTACTTCATATTCAGGGGATGCAAGTAATAAATGTGACGTATTCTTTAACTGTAAGTTTCATCCCATAATCCTGTTTTTATAGGTCTAGAAACACAGCATTAATTTCAATTGATGAACTAACCTGGGAATTTTCATAGAGCTCCAGAAAAACCCTTTTACTGACCCCCTTGAGAATCTGTAAGTTTTTGTGTGTGTGTGTGTATATATATTTTTATTTGTATAAAAACAAAGTTCACATTATGGTAAAATAAACAATCTATTATTCTACAAATTTGTCTTTGTTAGTTGTAATTAAAAATGTACGCAAAACACTGAAGTACGCAAATTTGAAATTTTTTTCTGCCTAAAAGAATCTGATATTAAAATAGATATAACTGATCCTTCGTAATAAATTTTACTTATCATGAGACACTAATAAGCCACGTGTTCAGATATATAAGTAATTTGAATATTCTGCGTATTTACTGCGGCACCTCAAGACTTACTTAAACTAGAATGATTTCAGTAAAACATCGTGATCCTTCTTTATCAAAATCTTAAGAATATTACACAATTTTCTGATTTCTAGTTTAATTTAAATACTGAAATAAATTTGTATTCAATATTTTCCCTATTAAAAGTCACGTTACATTCATAAGAGAAGGTTTACTGAACAAGGTAAACCTTGTGTACCGTTTCCAAGTGATATTTTAGTTGAATAATCTGTAGAAATACATAACAAGTCCAATCTCCAATTTATACTACTTTATACATTTTGTGTCAAGTAAAACAATGCTTACACAGAAATCTAAATGAATAATTTTATTTCTACTATTTATTGAACATTTAACTGAATTTTTGGGGTATATTACTGTAAGTGAAAATTTTAAAATGTTATTTTATGATTTGGTATTTTAATTCACATTTAATACCTCTCTCTGTTCATATCTTAACACCTAGTGAGAACCTGTGTATTAACCATACAACCCACATATTAACCAAATGAGTACTTGTGTATTAACCACACAACCCACATATTAACCAAATGAGTACTTGTGTATTAACAATACAACCCACATATTAACCAAATGAGTACTTGTGTATTAACCATACAACCCACATATTAACCAAATGAGTACTTGTGTATTAACACACAACCCACATATTAACCAAATGAGTACTTGTGTATTAACCATACAACTTACATATTAACCAAATGAGTACTTGTGTATTAACACACAACCCACATATTAACCAAATGAGTACTTGTGTATTAACCACACAACCCACATATTAACCAAATGAGTACACATTATCAATGAGTTAAGTGTAAGATATCATTCGAAATCAAAGTTGTCTAATAATTATATTTTTTTTCATTATTGCATACTTTAACTCCTTTTTAACTTAATTTTAGGGAACAATAAAAGTACACGTAGTATCTCATTTTTTAACAATCTCAACCAAACATTATGTCCGGCATTTCACATTGATATTTGTCAATGAAAAATTGAAATTTTTTAAACATTAAATCAGTAACTTGCTAAGTAAAGCTTTATAGTTTATATATAATAACTAAATCTTTTAAAAAAATGGTACTTAACATCTGAAAGATTTTACTTACAGAAATAAAATAATATGAAAAAAAAAAGATGACACGAATAGATGACAATAATTATTTTATAATATAACTAAATACAAAGGTAGTATTTCTGAATTATGAAAGTGACGCAATGCTTCTACCCAATAACAAACTTATAATAGAACTATTTTACCTTTACTGATCATACAAACATGAAACATTCTTTTCAGATAATGGATCACGTTTATGTTTTATCCGATCGTACGGGGGGGACAAGTAGATTTTAAGAACGAACAGACTTTTCTAGCCCGCACTCGTGATAGATAAATTATTTTTATAGTTGAATGTAGACTACGATGTTAATATATATATATAGACAAGGCTGTACATTTGAATCCTATAAATCTCTTTAAGAGTTAGTTGTGGTTATTTTTAATTTGCCTTTGTTAAGTTATTATATCTTGTACTTGCATGCAGTACAGAAATTTTGTTTGGTTCTAAGAAACACGTTACGGCCCATTATAGTTTTATGTGCCCAAACAAAAGGTATTTTAACTAATTTTATTTTTCATACCTCAGAGGCTATCTGTAGGAACAGACAAGTTTAGTGCAGCAAACGGTATCAACAAACTTCAAGCTAGAGCTGAAAGGTACTCCTGTTCCACAAAACACGATCAAAAAAGGTAGAAAATACATTTTAGAATTTTCTTCTTATTTTTATATATACACACACACAGACATAAAACGCTTTATACACAAAATGTTGTTTATCAGATTTTGACATTTTGAGAAAATCAGTTTTTCTGTAGCTTTAAAAACCAATATTAAATCAAAGGTAAGCAGTTTATTAAATAAAATCATAAATAGTTAAATGTAAAACCTAAAAAAATCAAACTTCTTTATTTATCTAAGATTTTACAAGATCTTTTATTTTTGGACAAGATCATAAATATTCATAAGCCTTTTTCCATTTTTTATCAAAGTGCTATATATTCATAAGCCTTTTTCCTTTTTTTTATCAAAATGCTATATATTCATAAGCCTTTTTCCTTTTTTTTTATCAAAATGCTAAATATTTATAAGCCTTTTTCCATTTTTTTTTATCAAATATTTTTGCTAAATATTCGTAAGCCTCTTTCCACTTTTCTTAATCAAGATGCTTCTTACCCATTGATACAATATCAAGGTAGCTCAATTCTGTTGTAAATACCACATTTTACATCTAACCTAAAACTGGCAGTCAAACTTTTGTAAGGGTTTTACTTGTAAATAAGATAAATACAATAAAATTGTTGCATTAATCTAAAGTTTATTTCTGTGTGTGAGACGGTTAGTTTGTGGATCAAGGTGATACCTATATTTGTGTATATACTTTTGGTTTCAGGTATAGAGCTACCAATTTTTAAATGTGTGTGTTAGACTTGAGCACTTTAGAAGTTCTGGAACTTGTACTGCTCCCTTGAAATCTACTCGAAGTGCTTTTCTTGCAAACACAAGATATTATAAGATAAGAAAACAAAAAGGCAAAGTATACCAATAAAACTTAATGTGGTTGTTGGATGATATGAATTCCACACTTGTCTACTCATTACCCATCTTACATCTCACAACTGGAAACCTTTTAACAACTAGTTAATAATATAGAATTATAAAAATGTTATAACCAAAGCTTAATACTGTGTGAAAACCTATATCAGGAAGCTTAATACTGTGTGAAAACCCATACCAGGAAGCTTAGTACTGTGTGAAAACCCATACCAGGAAGCTTAATACTGTGTGAAAACCTATATCAGGAAGCTTAATACTGTGTGAAAACCCAAACCAGGAAGCTTAATACTGTGTGAAAACCCATACTAGGAAGCTTAATACTGTGTGAAAACCCATACCAGGAAGCTTAATACTGTGTGAAAACCCATACTAGGAAGCTTAATACTGTGTGAAAACCCATACCAGGAAGCTTAATACT